CTCGAACTCACAGACCGTGAGATCATGACCTGAGCCGAAGTCGGACGCTTAACCGACCGAGCCACCCAGGCGCCCCCACAATTCTAATTTTTAAAAAGGACCTCTTTGATGTGTCACTAACAGTTAAAGGGGAAAAAAAGCCTCTCATTTTCCCTTCAGTTCTAAACGGTGGAGATGTTGGTATGATCTAACAGTTTGCAAACCTAGTAACTTCCCAACAGAGTCAGTTAAAATAACGCAGTTGTTACCACAAAGATTCGGAAGTAGGAAAATCTAAGTCTGTGGTGGTAAATCCATTAAGCAGAAAAGGAGAGCAGAAAATAGTTTTCTTTTGTGGCAATAATTGAAGGCCTCTCTCATCTCTTAGCCTGCATCTGTTCACTGGAAATTCGGGCAAAAATATTCACAGGAATAAATTAATCATCAGGTTGGCATGGGGACCATCTCTTGCTACAGAGAAGTTGAAGCATCACTGTTGGCACTAGAAACATAAAACAAAACATGTGGTTCACTCAGCAGGCGGAAAAAGAGCTCTACTGAGCTTAACGGCTAGAAGGTCACAGAAGGAATGTCATGGCATCACAAATTCAAGAAAAACTGAAATAACTAAAAGTTCACATACAAAAAAAATTGAAGAATTGTTTGCAATTAACTCATATTTGTAATCACAGGGAAAACAATCTGCTAAAAGAAAAGGATTGAATAATGGACTACTTCTACAGTATTTTTTTTTATTTCAAAAAAGATCAGTAACGCAGGAGACCTGGGTACAGAAACACCACACTCTATGTTGAGGAAATAAAAGGATCCATCCAAGTGAGGTTTCCCTGTGAATGAAGTATATCCTACTAACTCTGAAAATGTCATTTTAAAACATTTCTACTCATTCTAAAATTTCCTTAACATATGTGACCCAATATGTGACACTCCACCTTTTTAAATGGAATGTACTAGATTAAATTTAACCTTTTCCCAATGTCTCAGAGACAGAATTATGAACATGATTTTCTCACTGGAGACCGAACAGCGAATCAGGGTTGAGGATGGGGGAAATAGTAAGGTACCAATATTTAGTGAGCACCTACTATGTGTTTTACTCCCATTACCGCATTTAAATGAATTTTATTTTATCTTCCCAATAAATGTAGGCAAGGATGAAAGAAACTGACACTCAGAGAAGCTAGTCCCAGGCCTCTCAGGCAGTAAGTGGCAGGCTGGGAATGAAGCTCAGCCAGGGATCCTCCACCAAATCTGAGGGCCCGTCTCTCCAGAAAGGGACATCTCGTTTTGAATACCTAAGCAAAGTAAAACCAGGTGGCTGTGCTTTGGAGTTCCATGACCACATGCCATATTTTCTTTCTCCTTTTACTGCCATTTTTTGTCACTATCAACAAACTGACCTCTAAACCACCCCCCTCACAACACCTTCCAGAGCTCTGGCAAAATTATGCCAAAAAGCAAAATTTATTAGAATCAGGTAAAAATTAATTATAAACAGACTCTGGATAGAGGCCACTACTACAAGCAAAAGGCAAGATTATTAGAACGTGAACTCTACGGGGCGCCTGGGTGGCGCAGTCGGTTAAGCGTCCGACTTCAGCCAGGTCACGATCTCGCGGTCCGGGAGTTCGAGCCCCGCGTCAGGCTCTGGGCTGATGGCTCGGAGCCTGGAGCCTGTTTCCGATTCTGTGTCTCCCTCTCTCTCTGCCCCTCCCCCGTTCATGCTCTGTCTCTCTCTGTCCCAAAAATAAA